GTATACAGAATTTCTGTATAAATATTTGCTGATGAGTTTGTACATCTGAATGAATGATTTATTTCTATTGAATGAATTACCTTTACATCCAATACAATTCGTATCAAAATTGAATTACGTCCGGAAAAAATGAGATAGTCATGAAAGATTATTTTTAATGATTTTTAATTAACACAAGTATATCCGACCTGTAACCGTAATGAAATAATTGAAGTAAAATGAGTCCAGGATTGAAATAGCCTCAGCGAATCCGGCGTAAATAATAAACCGGATTTGCACCCTGAATTTTCCAAGAATTTGGCTAAAACTATTTGAACTCGTTGACTGCATTACCTCTAAGCTGAAGTAGTGGTCAGACTGTCTGACCAGTAGTAACATTATGAGTTGCAGCCATTAGCAGTTCCACCAAAGGTCCTCTTTCCCCAAAACCAAGAGACTACAGGCTGATAGTTTTGCCGAAGTAACTTAGTGTCCCCACCGCAAGTGTCCTGACAACAACGACAAACCCCGTGGATCTCCACAGGAGGTGACACATACCCTGCTCTCCCCAGCGGGATATCCCGATCCAAAGTTAGCTTTCCGCCTTCACATACCTGGTGCAAATGCATCTCGTCCGAAAAAAAAAGCAGTAAGAAAAAAAATCCAAAAGATAAATCAATTTAACCTCAGTAAATCCACTTTTCCACGTACACACGTTATCCCATTGTCCACAATCCAGGGGGAAAATAAATTTCACCATTATGAAGTATTATTGCTGTACAATGCAGATTATTTTCAGAGGAAAAAAAGTGCGCGCGGGTTGCGGTGGAAAAATATTCTTACAGTAAAACCCATCTCTTCAGAAATGCGCACAGTACCTTCAACTTTTGTGGGTATACTTCCACCGTTTCTTACAATTTCTCAGTCAAGTACCTCTTGCTACCAGTTGTACTTGGTGGGGGGGTTAGCAAAGCGCATATTCATGCGTTTCCGCAAATTAAACAGCCACCAAGTTTTTATCATCTTTCTTCACCGCTGGGCAGAGGGACGTGGGGGGGAAGGAATGGCGGAGAAGTGGGAAGAAATTGTGGAGTAAAAAATCTGCCGGGAATTCTCGAGTGGTCGAGCAAAACATAATTCCAGGTAAACTCAAAGTTCTTCCGAGGCACTTTTCCTGCTGGTGTAATAGTGGGCTGGAAAAAAAAAAGTTTTGAATTAGCCGGGAAGAATGAAAACTTGCACATACGGGGAGTACACAAATGGAATGAATGAGTCGAGATGGAAAATGTACACTTGTGAGCTCACAATGAGACTCGGCAACGAGTGTACTTTAAACGTTGAGGAATATTTTTTCTTCTCTTGCCCATTAACGTGGACTCTTTGTGGATGGAAAATTTTTTGACTTTAGCTCAGCGTCTCGTAACATTTTAATGGTGCAGTGGTGATCCACGATTGGTGGCGCAATGTCGAGTGCAACATGATCGGAATTAGGGTGGGGAGATACTTTATTTGAAATTGTGGATGAAGAGTATCTTGTTTGGAATATTTTGGGCTTGTGTGGGGAAAGTTGAATGGGGGGTGACTTTTCAAGTAAAATGGGTATTTGGGGAGAATGATTTTTTTTTTGGTATCCGGAAAAATGGGTGTGAGGGGGTGAATGGAGTTGACGACAGCAGGGAAAAGATTGGGGAAAAGAAAAGGGTGAATCGATGGTGCATGGCCTCGGGTGGTATATGGGTGGAATATGGGGTGGACTGTGGACTGTGGTCGAGGTCGGTGTATACGAGAGGATGAGAATGCGGACAAGAAGGGTCAGAGGATGAAGCGTTATCGGGCGTTCGTTACGATGGTTAACGTATCGTGGTCACATGTACGTGAATGGCCTGACGAGAAGGGTTTTCGGGCTGGGATATCCGTTGGTCCGTTCATCCGTGATGTGATTCGTGGGTTACAATCCCCGCATCGTTGATACGTAAGTCGAGCGAATGCAAGAGACTCCAACAGCATGTATTGTCACATCGATATACCCTTTTTACGATCTCCACTGTTTTCCTGTTTCGACTATTTTGGTGAATGGAGTGAGTGCTCTCAATGCAACAAATGTTTTTGTTACGCACGACTGGAGTTACTCTCAAATCATTGAGGAGGAACCGCCGAGGAGTCACTAATGGAGAGAATACACTGCGTGAGAGATAGCACGGAAATTGATTCGATAGGATGAAGAAAAAAGCATAAATAATATTTCTGAAGCTTTTATATTTCGATTCACTCAATCATTGGAGCGGTGTTTCCCAATTTTTCATTTACAGATCAATCCTCCGACAGACGAATCATTTCGGAAAATTGATTGAATGGCGTTTTATTGAATTGATTCGCTCGCGATTCAACAGTACTTTTTCACCCTAATCTCTTGTTGTGCAACGCTGAGCGAAAATAAAAATAGGAAAATACAGCAAGTACACTTTTTCAGTTACTTATCCAAATCAATCTCGTGTTTTTCCAGCTGCTGCGTCAAGTTTTCTCCATAGAATCTAGCTGAGAAGCGATTGAAAGGGACGTTGTGAGGGGGTGGAGTGAAAATCGAGAAGCGACATTGAAGTGGAAAGAAACTTTGACGATCTTTTCTCATGGATTCTCCGTGAAATATTGAATCGACCGTGAGAGAGTTTTTCTTTTTTCTCTGTTTTTACAGACCTCCGCGGCACTCCACGAGATGGATTCCCTCGATTTTCTCATTTTTCTCTGTTTTATTCGTTAAACTGAGTTTCAAGAAGTGCCCTGAGACAAAGGGAATGCAAAAAAAAATTGATCTCAATGGGAACCAAGTCCGACACTTGTCAAATTCTCTTTTCACCGAGTCCAGCTTGATACTGTACAATCCAACAGACGTCTCGCGTTCTCACTGAAATTTTTCCGACCTCTCCAGTTTCAAGGATTAATGGAAATGTTAGATGGCCCGTGAATGATTGAATTGGATGATTCTCAATTGGGACATCATAATTTTGTGGTCCGTAAACCCTCGGTAATGACGCGCAATTTCGTTCAAACGCAAGGATTCATTTACCGCTGCATTTATCGGAATTTATAGGCAGACCTGATGGAAATATAATTAAAGAAAATGAAAAAATTTTATGTGCTGTTATAATTGAGATCATATCAATGCCTCTATTGGAAGTTCGGATAAGAAATTCATGAATAGTACGATTTTCACCAATTAATCTCGAAAACGTACACATTTTTTTTAGACAAAAAAAAGCCATCATTTTTGCAGTTGGATAATTGGTTTGTTATATTTCTGTTTCATTTTCTCCTCCACCAGAAATTTTGGGGATACGATGAAAAATATTTTGAAATACCGAATGAAAAAAAATTTGAAACCACCATTGAGCTCAAACAAACAAATGCATTTATTAAAAAAAACAATTCAGATGATTGAGGACGAATTGGATATTTTCCACCGACTGTTCTCCATAGAGGAAAAAAATTTGTTTAAAAAATGCGCGGTCCTCTCCCATTCAATAATCCATTGGTGCGGCAGGATCAATTCGTTTTTCATACTATTTTTTATTGCATTGTTTCCTCTCTCCGTAGAATGTGCAGATTTCCTAACGAAGAACTTTAATTCAATTATATTCTATAAAAATTATGCGGAGGTGAAGAAAATGAAGAATCAGTGTAATTTGTTTCTATTCCCTTTTCACTCGTGTTCTATTCCCCTTTTGCTCAGAAATAAAATATTCAACTTAATTGAAATCGAAACATGATATCTCCTATTAGCTTATGCGTAATAACGCGCAATTTAACAGCATACATAAATGTTTGATTGTCCCAAAATTTATAATTGATGGGCTTCCACCTCCATCGTGGGGGAATATAACAGGGCAAATATAAAATTCATTAAAAAAATCACAATAATACTCCACTCCACTCCACTCCACGCCACTCTTATAGAAAAGCTGTGCTTTTTTTTAATATGCTTTTTTTTTTAAAGCCAACAAGATAATTAAATGCAGAGAAATGATTTGGGGGATTGCACATGAATAGAATATTTCTCACCGACTACCCTCGATACTGAAAAAAAAATTGTAACAAAATGTAATCACTTTTTGTATTCACTAATACATTGTTCCCGCTGGATCTATTCTTTTTTCCTCGTATTTTTGGTTTCATTTCTCTCCTTCCCCCCCTTTTTTTTTATCATGGAGTATTTCGCAATGCATGAGCTAACGACCACAAAGAGAAGCATCAATTCAGAATTCGTTCAATGGGTGTACACGCAAAATTTTTTGTTCAGCAATGCATCCAACGATCAGATGTCGACGTGACGTTTTTTTTTCCATCGAAAAATTCCATGGAATCACGAGTGACCAGTGGTGAATGAACGCGCCAAAACCATTTGTACGATCTTTTATTATTTTCTTTGTAATCCGAGTGATGCCATTGATGGAAATGATAAATTATTGATTCGCAGTGTTGGTGTTGAGGATGCTTTTAACTTTTTAACTTGCATTTGGCGGCTTTACTATCATCGTCATTGACCGACATCTTGAGGATCGGCTGATCGATAATCTCAAGTGTTTACGCGGAATAAACACGTAATAGCGTTTAAGCGACCAACAAGTCCGAGCAGCTGGGCGATATTTCTGGTCCAAATGGCTCTGGCTTTTGTATTTGTGGGTATGATCCACTGAAATTTTTATCAATTTTCCGTAAGCGTTAGATTATGATTTTTTAGTACTGGGAGTTAAATTTTCCTGGATGTAAAAAATTGTGGAAAAAGTACGAAGGATTTTTAGTGATTGGTGGAGTATTGATTCATCGATTCAATGAAATCAATCAAAGCACTCGATGTAGCGTGAGTAAATTGCAATCTGGAGAAGTCCAATTTTTTCACCGATAATAAAACAATCCTTGAAACTTGTTGATTTGAAAATGAATTTCCACGATTCCTCGTATTTTACCGGCCACCCGTGATGGTGATATGATAACACGACAGTATAAATTATCTCGAACGAGATGATTGGCATCAGTAAAGCAGTTTCTTCAGGGGATAGTGAAAGAACTTGACGAGCAATCACCATGAAATTCGCTGCCCTAATTCTGTTATCACTCGGTGTTCTTGCGACAGCTGACTTGCACGCTGGAGAACGTGAAGCAGGGGATGTCCTGGTGGCGTCTAAACCCATTGTTCGGGTGAGTAAACATTCTTATCGTTCAATTCATTCATTTAATCGAGAAATTAACTCGTCAAGTTTTCTACGCGTACATCAAACAGCTCCAATCGTCCAATAGAAATTCTCATTAAATAACTTAATGGCAAACGTTATCGGGACTTCTGGGACTATGTGCAAAAATTATTTTCACCGAAAGCTTTGTAATCCAGACTTTTCTATAAAAGAAGGACATAAGGAAAAGTTCTCGAATCTCAGTGGATGTCGGGCTCAAGCTTGTATTGAGTACTTTTCCATTATTACGGGAGTAATTAAGCGAACTTCTTTTATTAGACATACAATTTTTAACGGATTTTCTCGTTGAGAGATTTTCAACTTTTCCACTCTAACGAAACTTCCATTGCTGAGAAATAAATAAAAAATGTATTTTGTATAGGTTTTTTAGTCCGAGTGATTAATACTATAAATTTGAAGTTAATTTTTCGTCATATATATAAGTCAAATGGCCGATATATTTTTAAAAATATTCAATTTACTCAATTCGTTGAGCCAAAATTATAGATTCTGCAAATTTTTTCCGGTTTCCCAGGAATTTCTTTTATCGCTACTTGGATTTTTTTTACTTGAGGCTCGTGTATTTCTTATATTTTCAGAAAGCAGCTCCTGGACGTCCTGGAGTTGCCATCCAGGGGCTCGGATCACCCGGCAGAATCACAGCCGTTAATGCAGTCAACAATGCTGGATCAAACGCTACGGTGAGAATTGTCGGAGGCGGACCAGGCCAGAGGAAAGTTATCCTGCTAGCTGTTAGTCCATTTGGCCAGGGTATCAATGTGACAGTTGACGTTTACGCTGTAGTTCCCAACTCCAACGGCACAACTCCACGACCACCACCACCTCCACCACCACCTTCCAACAGTACGCCAGTTTTCCTGGACATCTAATAATCAATATATAGTTCGAATACATTATAATTACTGCACTCACTAGAGATGCCTTCTATCTAATTCTTCAATAAACATTACTGCAAATTTACCAATTTTTTTTTAATTCCCTCAGTTCTGATTCGCGTAAAAATTTTTCCAGGTGTTACAAAAAAATTTTTCAATGCAATGTTTAATTTTATTTGAATGATTCTTCCGATTTTCAATCACATGTGCCAGGAGTATTGCGATGGCATGATAGTACAAACGACTCATCCAATCCGGTGAATAGTATCAGTGCAGTACATCTGCAACACAGATTACAAAGCCTCAACAGAGGATCAACATCAGGTTGGCTCTTCTAATTTGGCTATCACTCGGTATCGTGTCCAACGACTTCAACAATGCAATCTCCACGTCAGGTTCTGAATTGGTGTCGATCATCAATTCTATTTCGCAATTGACAATTCGGAAATTGAATAATCGAAGAAATTAATATTATTAGGAAAAAGCGCATGATGAGTTCTACACTGGAATAAATTATATCTGTCAAATAAAATAGTGACCTAATTTCTGTGATAAATGGATGAAAATGGATTGTCAGTAATTGTTTTCTCAGTGTGAGATTGATTCCATTCTCCTCGAATACTATTATTAGACATGGTATCAGTATTAAATATCGGATTATAAAACTCTCATGATTAATCTGATAATTCCCCGGAAACACTCGATAGCTGTGGGTTCTAGAAATAAGATCTTACGTGTTCGGTGGCTTCAGGAAGTGAAGCATTAGAGTGATAAGGGAATAATATAAATGCTCTGTCCGACTACCTGACCTGTCCCATTGTACAGAATCAATTATTACTTCAAGGAGTCAATATGAAAGTCTTCATCTTTATCGGTTTTGCTCTGGCTGCGTTGACAACAGCTCAAAATCTCCACGCTGGAAAGCACCAGCAAGGAGACGTCCTCGTGGCCACCAGACGTTTGATCGCAGTAAGTCGTTTCGGTCCGAAAAAAAAAATTATATTGCCCAGATAATTGACTACCAACCTTAAGAACATTAAAAAAAGTGCATAAAAAGCACATGATGATGAGAATTCCTTAATTGATTTGAATTTATCAATTTTTAATTGTACTAATCTGGAATTTTGACAAGCGCAATTGAGAGTCGATTGAGTAAATCCGTTTTTTGAGGCAGAAAAGGTGGAATGGATTTTTATATTTTCAGATGATTATCGGATGTGTGTTTCAGGGGTTGATATCTCGAAATGGCATTGAACGACCGACATATACTATCGAACCAGTCATGGATATCGATGGAATAATCACCACTGTAGAAGGCGTTAACGCTCCAGGATCGAATGCACTTGTCAACATTCAGGCTGGTGGACCTGGAAGTAATTACGTCGTTGTAGGAGCTTTCACTGGCCCTAATGGACATTTTGATGTGCAGCTTGATGTTTTCGCCGTACCATCCAACTCAACTGGCGTTTGATGTTATTGCACAATTATGGGAACACATAGAATTCTCATGATTTCAGCGAACGACTCAATTCCGAATAAATTTGCAAGTAAAAAGATATGGAAAGTTATATTGATGCAAATTTCAAAAAACATTCTCATTTTTATAATTTTCTCTTAATCCTTCCAAAATTCATTTCATAAATTCCTAATCGTGCAGAAGTTTAACCAGAAAATTTCCAAATTGCGGGAAAAAATAATTAATCTTTATTGAATATTTCTGTGCAACTGTCACATTCAACAAATATCTCTGATAGTGGTATATTTCCAATTGCCTTGCTGAACACCTGAAATTGTATATTCCCTGGGAATCCGTGAGCCACTGAGCGTTCACATCCATTAGCAGATAGTTGAATCCCATTTAAGTACCATAAGCTTCTGATCGATAATCGCATAAGATACAGTTGTACCGTGGGTTGTGGGCGGCAAAGAGAGAATTGACATTGGGTATTCAGTACGTAATAAGGTAGTACACATGTGCCATCTGTAATAATTGGGAAAATCTCCTCCATATTTCATTGTACGTATAGTTCACGTGACATGTAATGTGCTGTACGCGTGCATTCTCGCAACCGTGAAATTATACGCTTCATGCGTTAAGCCCTGGATTCACGCTGGTGCCCATAATACAACCAGAGGGTCAGGATGAGAGACAAGATGCATCCTGGCGATGCTGTTTGTAGCTCTGGCAATCGCCTTTCGGCTTTCCACTCCTCCTATCTCACGCGAAATGACAATTACCGACAATTGATCGGATAACTTGAAAAAAAAATTGTGACATGTCAAAATTATTTGAACCACTTTCGCACGCTCATGAATTTTGCTCGTGATTAGTGATTATTCATTATTGAGTATCAAAACAAATATTTAATTCTGTCATCTAAGGGAATCTTCCCTTTAATTGAATTGAATACTCGATCGCGTTCGTAGTAATTCACATTTTTTGTGCAGAGTTTATTTAAAGGTACTAAAACAAATTTTTCTGCTGATCAAATTCAGGCAATTTGTGGGCTGCGAAGATAATAGAAAGGTTCTTCACAATTAAGAAGTTTTTTAACCGAAAAAGTTAGTCCACGGGTGATGGCTACTCGCGTTAATTGGAAAGTAGCTGCAACCGCTAGTGAGGAATAAATCGAGTGATTTTAGCTATGAGGTAACTCCAGGGGTATTTTTTCAAATTAGGTATGTGAATTCTCACCTTGTATTCTTCTTTATAATTACGTAGTTTTGTGCAAGTTGAAAATTGTGACTCTGGTTCCATTCACACTGTATAAAACCCATATTTGGAGAGCGAAACGAGTTCTAAAACTCATTAACACTGTTAGTTGATAATAACGGTGGAGATTAATTGAAATTGAGACTGGCTGCGGTAATTTTTGCCAAATAAATTTGTTTATCACAAATATATTTACCCAAAAGAAATAATTTATCGTTTGAGTATGAAAATCAATTCACTAAATTCTCTCACAATGAAATTTCAAATGTTCTTGATAAAATGTTCATTTAATTTCATGTCTGAAGTAAATTTGACTGTCACAAATATATTTCCCTCTGAATCGCTGAATTTCCGCCGACTGATCCATTAAATTATAATATTCTCCGTTCACTACAGACAATATAAAATACATCAGTGAGACGACGTAAAACATTTCCCACAATAAATGAACATTTTCACCAATAACGACTCATATGTATACGATTAAAGACCCATTATTATCAATATTATATGACCACTGTGTTTTCACCTGACAAAATCATAACGTGGAAATTAAACTCGATTTACCATGTACCTGGCGACTCCATCGATAATAATAATTAAAATGGTTCGGTCCAATAAACTCGGGTGTTGAATCAAGGTCTGGAGGGATGTGCAGAAGCACACGAATATATTCCCCTTTGCCCACGTATTTTACCTGTCTCCATTGGATAGCTGTCTGTATTTATTATTTTGTCTCACTAACGAAGATATTTGAGGCGTAAAATTGTCGTGCGCCGAAAGAAAATTCGTTTCCACACGTTTCCCACGTGAATTATCGGTTTTTTTTTGTCCACTCGTGTACCATATAGACATTTGTGTCGAACACTGTCGAGCCTGTATTATTTTCAACTCTTCAAATGTAACTCGTTAAATATTAAAAGTTTTATATTCGTCGGATTCTCGGGGCATTGTGAAGTCAACGATAAAATAATGAAGCTCTCGCAACGTGTATTCCGGATACAGCCCCGTCTGTGCAAATCTAAACTTTCGCGTGTTTGTTTTAACGAACCACTCACCCCTGTTTTCAATAATTAATAAACGTCGTGTTGGCAATGTAGAGTCATTATACGATACGACGAGACATTACAAAAATTCCGAAACTCGGAATGTTGAATGCACATGAGAGAGTGAATATGTTGTTATATTCTTCTGCCGTTCAACTTGTACTTCTATATTCTTTTCTTTTTCAATGGCATTGTATGCTAAATTTCGCGAAAATTACCATAGAATACTTTTTTTATGGCTTTTTAATTTTACCTTTGTGATAAGGAACATTGTATGCACAACTGTAGCCAGAGAAATGGCCTACATAATGACCAAATGTGAGCTTGCACTCCACTCGCGTTCTTACGGTTTGCGGTTCTCTCTGACCTTTTTTTTTTTATTTTCTTTCGGTCTCATGAAAGGAGAACCGCCAACGGGGCCGAATCTTCTCTCTCCTCAGTCGTCTCTCATCTTCTTTTCGCACTTGGAGATTGTTAACTCCAAGTGGGTAATCATACCCACCGGTTTCACGCCACCAGACGCACCAGTCCAACGAGTCAGCTTTATACTGGGTGAAAAACATTACGTACCACTCGGCTATTGCGTAAGATTCATTTATTTTTATAGTTTTTCAAATGAGATTTTTGCCGGGGTGATTTTTTGTTATGAGAGGTCTTTCGAGACTTGTGGAGATGGGAGATTTTTTTCCGGCAGTGTTGACTCGGATGACAACAACTAACTCCCGACATTTTGCCCAGAACAATTTGTACTGACTCCTTTATTTATTTGTCTTATTTTTTTTTAGGAGAGTGGAAGCTTCCTGGGTTTGAGTATTCAATCTGGATTTTTATTTCTGTTCTTGGAGATGAGAGTCTTGTGGACTTTTGGGATCTTTTCGCAGTTTTGGGAATTTTTCTTCGACGGGGAATTTAATGGACTTTTGCACGGCTACAGGTATAAAATATTTTGTAGAAATTGTGTAATCATTTAATTTGATAAATTAGTTTTAGAAAATCCTGTGGAAAATAGTAATTGGTGTTAGGAATTATTTTTATAATGATTTTCTGGGAGAAATTTATGAATTAATTACGAGTTGGGATAAATTTTATTGGAAATTTCTCTCCGCTGTCGTGGAATTTCGTAATATTCGGCGATAAGATATATCCAGTGTGATTGCCGGGGCCACCCGGTATGTACTGGAGCCATACCCAATCATGCATGCGTATTGACAGGCATATAATTACATACCTTCAGTCCGCACCTCTGTGTCTTGTTAGCAGATCTCTCTGGCGAAGCGCCCAAACACCTGCCTGATTGTTAATAATTTGCCAACTTCCAGTATCTCGATTGCGTAAAGCCTCGCCGATCCATTTCACCTTTTATTATTCTTTCGTTTCGTTAGCAGACTCTAAACGATATTCGGCGGAACGAAATGGAACGAATAAATTCACCCAAACATCTGCAGGATTTTGTGGGCCCTTTGAATCCCAGTTATTTTCTCATTTTCGGGGAGTTATCAAATGGCCATTGCCAAGCCGTTGATTGAGTTTCGTCGGCAGTGGGAGGAATGATAAATTCAGGGGCGGATAATTGACACCAGGTGTTGAGGTGAAATATTTGGCTATTTTCATTCGCTGTTTCGAGCAATTTTTCAATCATTCTTCTTCATTTGATTCACATTGATGAGACAATTTAAACAAAAAGGTTTAATTCCATCAACGTTCTGGTGGATTGTTTAAAAAAACAATATTTAGTGATGGATAATTGGGTTTAGTTTTTCATTGTAAACTTTTTTGATTTTCCAATCGTTTATACAGAAAGACGATTAAATAGTTTATTTTTGATTAAACCACAAGATTTTCTCAAACTTCAGAGAAAGTTGAGTACGCGAAAAATTTCCAGTATTCAACTCTGCAAATGAAGACGAAAATTTTTGCCGGTGTCACCGGGCTATTAAAGTTTCTCCGAGTGAGTACAGGAGTTTTTATTGTCCAGTTCTCGAATTTTCCGCTGCTCTGCCATTGAATCGACTTTACTGAACAGTCCCCGAGTTTTATTTGTGATTTACGTAGAAATACTTTTGGTTTTTTTTTCAGTGGAAAATCTTTTGTGCATGGAGAATGGCGTCGAATCGATCTTCATCCAGAACTTGACTCAAAGCGCTCTTGTATCTTTTCCGTTATCAAGGAATTTTGTAATAAAGATGAATAGCCATTGAACGAGTAACCCATATAACTGCAGTCTTATTACGATCTTCTCTGTATGATCTTGCACATCTTTATGGGGCCTTCATAATGCGGCCATAGCAACCGTTATTCTGCTTTCAACAACAAAACCCTTCGTATTTTCATCATAAATTCCTCCGAATTAATTTAGAAGCCGGTGAAATTCAAAGAGCGCGAATATCCTTGATGAATTCTTCGAGTGTATTGAGTGTAATCTGTTCAACACAATCACACTCCACCTTTCGGTTCTCCCTCCGGCACTATTAATTAATTTATTAGTCCCCAACAATTACGGTCGTCTTGTCTACCGTCGAATGCACCATCATTCCTCCTCGCCTAATTATCCCGACGAGAAGGCACGTTCACGAATCCTTCAACCATTACGCATTACTTTCCCCATTCCCTCTTCACATCTTTCCAATCTACCATTTCCTTTCCTCTTGTTCTGCCTTCAAAGCCTTTTGTCTCCTATTTTGTCTTTTTCGGGGTTTAATGCGAGGGGATTGTGTTAAAATTTAAATTAGAAAATTACAGAATGTAATTGCATTTCTGTTACTTTTAATGGGGAAGGAAAGTATGTGGGAATGATGATTTTCAGTGGAGTACATCAACGTTAAGAGTGCAGAGGGAATTCATTCGTGTTATAGCGATTTCGGAAGAAAGTGCTCGTTACGAAATCAGGAGATAAAGCTAAAAGTAAAGGGAAAATTCTGCGATTATTTGCCTGAGTTTTTCAGATTTCAAAGTTCAACCCACAGGGAATTTTTTATTATGAAAAAATCTCTTCATGTTGAAAGAAAATTTAATCTTAAATACGTATAAAATATACTCATATTATACATTATATTTATGATTACAAGAAAAATTATGGAACCTGCAATGGTCATTTTTAATATCACGAAACTTATCCTGTGTCATGCCATCAAAAACTCATAGTCATGTCGTTCATCTCTCAAGAACATCCCCAAAATACCATCAACATTTTCTATTCCCCTGAAAAATTCGAATACCCAGACCTCCTCCCGAAAATCAATCATGTTCTGGTATCCGTCATCCTCGCAGGTCCGTCATTTCTCCATTAGACACTTCATCCTCCGACGCACCCATCCACTCACTCTCTTCATCTCGATCTGTCAATATAACGATGCGTGCATAACGAATGGATCTAAAAATTTTTTCTCGCTCCAAAATGTTTCTCGCGTCCCCAATTTTTCAAAATCATTCAGAAAAATTTTATAAAACATCTCACACAATTCTCTCCCCGAATATTTCGAAGACGCCTGAGACTGATTCCTCATTGGCCAATACTGAATTTTCTATAAAAAAAAAACCGTTGAAGAAGTGTCATCTCCAAAGTTTCATTGAAAATTTTTCGTGATTTTCCCCTTGGGTACCGGGTAAAAAAAAAATTGTAATCGGAATATTTTTTCCAACTTTTCAAAAAATTTCTGGAAAACTTTTCAGAAATATTTTTTTTTTTAAACAACAAAATCCGGCAAAAAAATAATTGTATTTTTGGGAAATGTTTGAAAAATTTTTCAAAAATTCGTTTCGGCAAATTTTTTTTATAATTTTCTAGAAATTTTTGCGAATATAACTTTTTTTAAAATTACACTGTGGTTTTCTCAGTTTTTAAATTTTTCAATATTCTCAAAAAATACGCGATCTAAATTATAAAAAAAAAATTTTCTGAAAAGTTTTCCAGAAATTTCTAATCATTTGGAAAAAATATTCCGATTACAATTTTTTTTTACCCGGGGTGTAAACAACTTATCGAACGGCGAGTGCACAGGGCATTGGCCAGTGTTTACGTGCGCAATGTGTACACTGTGATTATTACATTTTTATAGACAAGATTCGTATCTCGTTATACCTGCAGAGTTTTCCATCCTCCGGTGCCCCCTCCAATCGTATATTTTGCACTTGGATCACGCCATTTCGCCATCCCTCGGGGTGTAAATAAGCAGTCGCGGAGATTACACTTGATCATAGGGAGTGCACAAAACCACAGTACATCTTATCGTGAACCGACAAAGATTCTCTTTCGCTCGGATCCTCTCCGCATATTTTCTCTCTTAACACATACCCGCATTCACGCCCGTGAGGTGGAACCAAGGTCATATTTGATGCACGTCCTGGCCAGGAGTGCAATTCACACGTCGTGATACACGAAAATTGTTTGCCGAGGCCAACAGCTGAGAATGAAGAATTCTTTCCGTCCGGACGAATTATTCTCTGAAATATTTGTTTGATGTACACCAAGTGCGAACGATTAACGATACAAAATCAGAACTGCTGCTTGTGTTCACAGGGTAAAGTCCCCATTTCCCCGGTCGAATCAACCCCTTTTCAATTAATGTCGCTTATGAATAATTGAATAGCTTCTTTTTCAACGAAGTTTTAATGAGTTCTCATGCTGTCGACGAATTTTCACTAATTTTGCAGGTTAATTGCTTCTCTCGATTCGGCGACTGACTGCCGATTAACAATTACAAAAAGTAATCATAAAAGTTGATCTCAATTTTTCGTCTCCTAATTTCTAATAATTTCAATACCTGTTTTCATTTATGTTTGATGTTTCTGGATATTGATTTAGGCACAGTGGATTTTTATTGTGTTGCACGCGAGATTCTCTTGAGAAAATGAATTGTTTTCAATTGACTCACCAATCAGACGTGCACTACTCCCCGGAAATCTGTGCATATAATGCCGTATACATGTGCTGAGTGAAATTGGTTTGAGCTAGTGCACAGGAACAGTTGAAGGTACATGCCCGAGTGGATAGGTTGGAAGGTACTTCTCCCTAAAAGGGAGGGAAATGCCCTCTCCCATTTAGCCCGAACTAACTTGAACAAGGTCGGAAAATGGCGATAGCTCAGCAGAGTCACGAACAGCGAAATCGTGCCATGCAGTGGATGCATTCAACGTCGCTCTGGGCTTCTAATTGTATCAGAAGTTATGAAATGATCGATTCACTCGTGCTTAATTCACGACTACGGCAAACTTTATAATGAAGTTGTTGATTGAATCATTATGTAATGCATGACCTCCACCAATTGGCAAAACTCTTCCGAATTCAACCGAATAATTCCGCATGAGGAAATTCTCCATCGAAACGAATCGATGAATAGGGAATTAATCGAAACAAATGATCAAAGATCACGTGTGAAAGTTCACATGGGTAGAGGCTCTGGTCAATGGCGGATTGATGCATATATTTGCATTCACCCATGACTACCGGATAGACCCGCAGGTTCCACGATATGTACCAGTAACGATGGATGTAACTCACCTGAACGGCTACATAAGGTGGCAATAGGGGGATGAAAAGGAGTGTTTGATATGTTACATTGATTGCGTACATAACCGTCGTATTATTGCCACTTTACCGCAAATGGGGGAGTCTGATAATCAGGGATCAGGGATACTGCTAATTTCCTGATAAACGCTTTGCCAACCCTCTCGTGCAAATCATCAGTAACGGCTTTTCCCATTGATTCTCCAAACCTCCCATCGTTAATACCAATTTCACAATGGCGATCCTCATCGTCGTTCATACCATAAATTTCACTTTTTTCAGAGCAACGTCCGATCAAACGTTAATATTCCACGTGCGTCCGACACAGCGACCGAGTGATCGCTCGTGATTTAAGTTATTCATCGTGCCATTTGCACTTCCAGAATCCGGCAATAATGTGTAAAATTTCACGGTAGTTCTCGGCCTCTCCTTCGTTCTAATAATTCCCAGGAAAATTTTACCGCTGGAGGAATGAATAAAACCGCACTCTCACCTCAACACGGCCAAATCTACGTGCGGGTGCCTTCCAACCCTTTAGCCAGTGTGTATTAAAACCATGTGCGAATGACGTCGAGTGAATTCACACGTGAAAAGGGACTAGGTCTAAAGGGTAACGTTTTACTTTCCCTTTTCACTCAAGTCGTGTTCACTATTTTTGTTGCACCCTATGGGCACAGTCTGGCAACACGGCCCGACTCTCATTAATGTGTCTCGTTCTGTTCAATTTCTTTTTTCCCCAGATTTTTTTTTTCTTTCAGTCTCGGGCTCTTGTCTTTTTGCAGTGCCCCGGGGTTGCAAATGGGAGTGTATCATTTCGTCTGCGGGGAAAACGGTCAGTGATCCTCTTTTATTTTTCATTTTAAAGGGTATATTGCACTTTTGGATGTGTAGGGTGTGCGTGAGAGGGCACTCCAACTCACACAATGGTGAAAGTGGAAGCCATTGCACTGCAGCAATGCAATATAAATCGCTTCAACATCATAAGTATCCTTCCCCTACTTGGACATACATATTCATGGCGTCATTACCGCCACATGATCCATGGCCCTGCTAAACGTTTCTGCCTGGCCTATGTCTCGAGCGGTGATTACCGACGCCTTCTACGGGGGGCGCAAAAATCACCGGAGTTCGGGGGTGACCTATCACTTTCACTTTTACTCGTGTACAACTGTTTTCATTTCTTCTTCCTTTTAACCTCATTTTTTATAGCTTCCTCCTACTTTTTATCGTACAGTACGAGAAAATTACTTTTGCCAAGTATTAATTCGACGGAGTATAGTAGTCAGTCTTTGAATATTGAAATATAGAAAGTTGATTATTCACGACAGGTGACGAGGGAATGGGTATAACACCGACAGCGGTAATTTTTCTGTTGAATTAATTAGTCTGGGGGTCGGAAAAGGATCATTTGACTTTCGTTTTCTTCATACACGTTATGAGTTTCACCAACTGACGCTAAAGCACCACTGCGAAAGGTCGATACGAGAGTTGATGACAAATTGCCAAGCTTTCACGCCAATACTGGGGTGAAAAAAGTTCACCGAGGGGTGATAACGATAGGACTTTCACCTTTTTCGTGTTGATGCTTGGAATACATAATCCAGGGTACGCCAGACAGATGGATAAAGGTCAGTGGGGAGATGAAGAATA